ACATGGAAATAGTGGACAGTGCATGGCTTAAGATGCAGTGACTGTACTAGTTAAGTCGACTGATACCTAAAATAGAGATGCAAGAAGAAACATTACTACAATTTTTAAGTGGGTGCAAGCATTTTTTTCTGCCTTCGAATTGTCATCATAAAAAAAAATCATGACATATTTACCTTTTCTTTACATCTCTTTTCTGCTTCTTTGCAACTCCAAGCTGCTGCTCCTAGAAACAAGTAAAAGTTACTTACATTTTTTTGGAATATTTTTAACCTTATCATGCCTTACTAGAGATTTCTGGAGATTTTCATGAGCAATCACTAACAGCAGTTACTATAATCATATTTGACTGAGTATAAAAACTAACAAGAATTTGCTAAATCATATTATTTATTATAGTATTACCTGTTCCCTCTTCTTCTCTTCAGCATCTCTTTCTGTTTTCTTTGCCTCTTGAAGGTTCTTGTAATTCACATACTTGTTTTTCTTAGGCTGTAAAGAAAGTTACTTCAAAACTACTAATTACACAACTGACTGTATGAATAAGTTCAAAAGGAGCACTTCTCAATTCAAAGTTGTATAAAAAATCCCATCTACAAAAACATATAAAAAGATCCATATACTATAGTATATACCTCTAATAAAACACTCACTTTAGCCCCAAGTTTAATGGCAAGTGCAACTTGAGCCTCCTCTTTCTTAGACTTGTCAAAACCTGCGATCCCAAACTTGAGCACATCCCATCTTGCTTTCCTCAGACTGAACTCCAGCCCACTGGACCCTACAGCTGACTGTGACACACTGGACAGTGAGGGCCCAGGCCCAGATATTAATGACTTGGCCTGAAAGGTGAAATGGACAGTTTTATATTCATAAGGTGGATGTTTATTTTGACAAGGAACTCAACAATACATTTTTGAAATTCTGTTTTGATGTTGTCTAAAGTATTGAACTTCACTTAATTGTTTAAAATACCTGCAGGCATCTAAGATCTACTAAACATGAAAAGGCTTTTTCAAAGATCTCCATCATACAAACTTACTGTAAGTAACCAAATTAGAGATATTGAATTTTTTTCAACCAAAAGCCGTAAAAAAAGAAAAAAAAAACATTAATTTAAAAAAAAGGATAAATTATAAAACATAAAGAAGACAACCCCGTCTAAATATCTTGCCAACTTCATGAATGTACACAGGTAAATGATAATATCATGAAAAAAAACAATTTTAATGCATCTCCTCAAAAATCACAACACCAATGTCCTCACCTTCATATTATCCTTTCTCTTTGCAGGATCTTCAAATACAATGACTTCAGGAGATCTATGGTTCTTTTCTACACTGTTGGTAGACACATTCAGCTTACTTTCCTGTTCATTATTGTTCGTTCTAAAACTGGAACCATCTAAGCCAAGTTCTTCTTTCAGGTCTGAGAGGTGTCTCTTTTGGCCTATCAGTTTCCTTTTAATTTTTCTCTTTTCTGAAATATCATTTTCTGTCCTGTTTGTTATACCCTCTGATTTATTTCCCATGTCCTTGTTTTTTTCTTTATTCTTTTTGTTTTTTAACTGTCTCAAACTGCTATCTCTGCCATTTGATTTTTCAGAGTTTTCAAGATCTGAGGATAATTTTTTGCATGAAGTTACAGCTGATTTTCCCTTTCTCTTTGCTTTCTTTAACCTCTTCTGATAGTCCTCTTCATCTAACAGACTGTCGGCTGAAATATTTATAGAACATTAATTTTATAATTTGAATAATCCTTATCTGAGGACAAAGTTTTGAGAAATGGAATTAGGTCAGATGGTTAAAAACAAGGTATTTTATCAAGTTACTCAGTAATTAATGCATCATCTATAAACTATTGTAAAATAAAGTTATAATGTACACAGAACTTAAGATCCAAAGCATATAATCTACTTTATTTAAAGTAAATATAACTGTTTCCATTGTGATTTTTGTTTAGAACCTATGGGTGTGTTCCCAATGAACTATAGTTCTAGGTAGATCAATCCAATTCCCCAGGGAACCTCAAATCATGCAAACAGATGAAATGAATGACAAATGCCTCCCCAAGCAGTTATCAACCCCTAGCTGCTCGAAGAGGCATTTTATTAAGTTAATCTGACTGCATTCAGCAGGAATTGAATCCATGTACATAGAAAGGTTCACTGGGAAAGTGATCTATGTCTTCACAATACATCTTCAGCTTCAAAGCACTGATGTTATTGAGACTTCTCAAAATACCAAAATACCATCTAGTTGAATGGGTAGAAAAAAGAACAAGTAAATACATACATGTATCTAAAATACACGTGTGTCTGAAACACTTTACAATAGATCATGACAACCTAGAATACCATATGTCCTGTGCTTACCATAGTTGCCCAGTCTCTGCAAAAGCTGCTCCTGGAGTTCTGATTCTATATTACTGGTCATTCTGACAATTAAGAATATGATATAGTTATCAAGCCTTCTATGCAAATATTTTCATGCACTAAAATTTGTTGCATCAATATTACATCAATTACACACTGGTAACTCCTTGCATGTCTTGCTAGTACGAGTTGCCTCTCTCTGCTACTACTAGTATTGACCGCTGGTATCCTAATACTAAAGGAATACTAGCTAGGTTACCACTACTGCTTCATACTTATTGTTACCTGTACTAGTACTACTACTGGTACTAGTAACAATAAACGTGTGGCACAAGTTGATGTCATTGCCATTTAGTGATTTACAAGCAAGGATGACAAACAGATACACTACGATTACGACACTGTAGTTTACTGACCTCCTGTGTGATGTCCCAGTACCCAATTTATTTAGCGATTACCAGTTAATTTCTAGTTAATTTGAACGCACCGACGACGTTGTGATCCACATGTTATCGGGAGAAGCAACAGTCTCAAGCATGCAGACGTGCCATCTTAGGTCACAAGGTGGCTGCCATATGCTGTCTAAAGCCAAGAGTGATATGTCATCTCAGGCCACACGGTTTTACACACACACACACACACACACACACACACACACACACACACAGAGAGAGAGAGAGAGAGAGAGAGAGAGAGAGAGAGAGAGAGAGACGGAGACGTTACTTCCTGAATGTGAAACATCTGCATAGTATCTCTTGAGGGCAGGAAAAGACAATGTGCTACGCAGTGCCTGAGTATTTTCAATACCTTCACTTCAACCAAAAGTTGCTATCTTTACCAGGAATTTTTTTCTCTTAATAAATTAATAACATGATGTAATGGGAAAGTCTGAACAAGGCAGCAAAGCTGTCAAATGTACAGACAAAAAACAGAAAATAAAGATGCAAAAAAGGTCATTTTGTCAATTCTGATGCAATAATAAATAATGCTTATAATAGCACAGATGAGTGTCAGTCAACACTGAATTTTAATCATGCACAACAGATAACATGGTCAATAACAGGAGCGGACCCTGAGATATTTTCTGACAGTATTCCAAATATCTATGTTGATCCATCCTCCATTTTGATGGTCTTCCAACAGAAAAAAAAGCAGTCAATATTAACTTAATAACCTGACTGTCT